CCTCACAACAGTGTCAGGAAGGAGTGCTGTTACTGTTATTGTACCTATTTTACAGATAAATAAAATGAAACAAAATCATTTAAGTAACTTGACTAATGTTGCATAAGTGACAGAGCCAGGATTAGCACATAATCCCAAAATGCAGTGGATAACTTTTTATCAGAGCCTCTGGCTCTTCAGAAGATTTGGTCAGTTTTGCCTTTGATTATTGTCACCAATTCTTAAAATCCCTTCCATCCATATTTTGTCTTTAAGCAGGCAAAAATATGCCCTTGCATTATATACATATACAGAGTGCCCACATGTATCCATGCCTAGACTGTTGCTGGTAGAAAACAGGAAACTGGTAACAGTTGTTGCCTCTGAGGAGGGGAACTTGATTGATGGAAAACAGAACAAAATCAGACTTTTTACTCTCTACCATTTAGTGTCTTGAATTTTGTGCCACATGCATGTTATTGGTTTTAAAACATTTAACACTTTAAAAACTAAAAAGAACTAACTACGATTCATTTAATAGCAGTAAGGTGAATTTGTTCTTTGAGATGCTGTACGTAAGGGGCATCTCAAAAAAATTATACTACTTCATTTATTGAATGGAAAATATGCATTTGATGTGCACTTAACTCCCCTTGATGAGCCATGGCCTCCCTAGTGTTTTCATTTCTTAAGATCTTTTCCATGTTAACTCATCTGTTTTAGAATTCTTATTTATGTGTGTATCCCTCACAATTTCTATTACATACTCTGTGGATAGTAGGAACTCAGCAACCTTTTAAAATAAATAATTTCTATTAAGGGCTAAATGCATTAGAACTACCTGTTATCTCCTCAGACTAAAGCAATAAAATAAATTCAGAGACATTCCATAAATTTTTGCCTTCATGTACTCAGTAGCAGGTGTATTCAGTGTTTGTATCCACTTTTTACACTTGTTGATTGCATAACTAATTTCCACTGTCTAGAATTTTGAAGTCTTTAATGTCTACTCATTCATTACCTCTTTATTTATTGAGCTTTTCCTATGTTCTAGGTATTGGGTCAACAAACTTTCCACAAAGTGTTAGATGGTATTATATTTTAGCTTGGAGGGCTATATATGGTCTCCATCAAAACTCTAGTGTAAAAGCAGCTAGAGATAATCCATAATCTAATATATATGGCTCTGTTTCAATAAAACTTTACTTATAGATAGACACTGAAATTTGAATTTCACATGTTACAAAATACTCTTTTGTTATTACATTTGACTATTTAAAAATGGGTATCTGTGGGCTGGAGTTGTGACCCTGGCAGAGCACTTGCCTTGCATATGTGAGGCACTGGTTCAATCCTCAGCACTACATAAAAATAAATCAACAAAATAAAGATATTGTGTCCATGTATAACCAAAAAAAAAATTTTTTTTAAAGGGTAGCTGTTCCAACTTTGTAAGCCATTCAAAAACAGGAGAAGATCAGATTTGGTCTATGGGCCGAAATTTGCTGACCCCTATTCTAGGTTCTCTACCAATTCATTGTCTAGGTTCTTAATGTAGGGATACATAGTAGACTAAAGAAAAGTCCCCACCTTCAGGCATCTTTCACTGTAGCATTGAGATGGCAGATCAGCAATAATCAATAACCACTTTGGTACACTAGAAAGTGATGGATGCTATTTAAAAAAAAAGGGAGGAACAGGAGGAGGAGAGTAGGGAAAAGGGGAATTAGGAACCCTAAGGTTGCAAACAACTGGCAATATTACATAAAGGTGGCCTTTTCTCTGAAAGGAGTTGATAGGAATGAGCCTTTAGAGAGTTGTGCAGTATTGTGACTTTCTTTGTGTCCTATACTCTTTAGGAAGAGCCAGAAGTGCTATAGGGGTGCTGATAGCTTCTCCTTTGAGAAAGTCTCTGCTTGCTTCTATATCAATAAATCAAGTTCTAGTGACTGGATATCCCTGTTGATATGGTTTCACCAGCCTCTCTCATCTTTACTTCCTGGTTTATCTTGACCTTTGCATAGGATTCAAGTCAGTAGAATCCCTTACTTCAGTGGTATAAACATAGCATATTTTTCCTTCTCATTAATGAATCTAAAAATCTTGCTTCAAAGATAAATTTTCTATATGTTTGCACAAACATAAGTAGAACAATTTATAAACATAAGTAAGTACCATTTTAGAGAGCATTTATTATTTAAGGAGTGGGTTTTTCTTTTTATCATCAGTTATGGTCCTTCCTAACAGTCACCAGCTAGTTACTGAGTACCTACCATTAGCTTCAACCCTTCACTGGGTTCCCATGCTGCTTAAAATAAATTCAGTGTTTTTCACCCTCAGTCATAAAGCCCTAGGTAAGGTCCTTCTTCACCTCCTGGAACCTCCTTTTCTTCTATTCTTTCTTCACTTACTACACTTCCAAGTTTACAGATACATTTTCAAATCTTCAAATATAGTGAGCTTGCTTCTAACTTGGGTTTAGCACTACCTGTTCCCTATACCATATGCCTAGAATAGTGTCCCTTAATCATTATATACCTGGGGTTTTTTCCTTATTATAATAAAGGATCGTCCTTGTCAGGGTTTCTCTCAGCAGCTCAATCTATAATTCATAAAACTCAGTTTTAGCTGTGTGCATACTACTAATCACCATCTTCTAGTTTGTGTACACATGAGTGATATGTGAAAGTGTGTGCACGTGTACACATACAGCACTGGAGATGTAAGTAGTGTTTTTCTCATTTCTCAATTACCTGATCTGAGAACAATGCCATGTATATATTGGGCACTCAATGGTGCCCTGTGCCCAGCACACTAAAAAGTATCATGAATAGAGGCACCTTGGACTTGTATTCTGTTCTACTTGTCTCTTTCCCTTGTTCTCTACATATCCTTGTTTCTTGAAAGAGTGACCAGTGTTCTGTTCTAAGGCATTTTTATAGTTACTTGATAAACGTATTTCAATCTGGCTCATGCTACAGCTCCTCAAGTGAAATTGCATACAAGTTTGCAGTTGCCAACAACTTCTTGATTGCTAAGTCCAATGAATTTCATAGTCTTCATCTTCTGTAGCCCATCAGTAGCTTTTAACAACTTCTTTCTTGAAATGTTATCACATCCTTGACACCACCATCTCTTTTAGTTTTCCCTTAAAACATGTGTGCTCATGGCTGCAATTTTATGCCACATCAAAAAATATAGACGTGGGCTGGGGATGTGGCTCAAGAGGTAGTGTGCTCGCCTGGCATGCACGGGGCGCTGGGTTCGATCCTCAGCACTACATAAAAATAAAATAAAGATGTTGTGCCCACCGAAAACTAAAAACTAAATATTAAAAAAAAATTCTCTCTCTCTCTTTAAATATATATACACACACACATATATATTTGTTTGTTTATTTATTTATTTATAGGCAGAAAAAAAATTACACTCACTAATTTCACATCTTCCTGGTGTTCTACTACCTGAAGAAAATGTGAATCTCTGCAATAAGGGATATATGACTTGTGTGTGTACTTGTTAAAACTTTTTTTTGATGATTTTTGGCTAATCTTAATTTATGAGCCACATTTTTAATTGGAGAATGTATAACATTTGTTGTTTTTTATTTATATATGAATTGGTAACAGCTGAGGTTATAAATTCCATTGTGTGTAGCATTTGTGATCATTTTCAGCAGAAAGATTATTTTATTGTTTTCTTCTGGTTTTCTGGTTTTCCATTCTAGGAAATAAGAATTGAAAGTAAAGTTTTTTAAAGAAGATTTTTACTACCTATTCATTATTTTCCTGTATCAATCAAAGAAAACCCCACAAACCACCTGTTTGTAACATTAAGCAATAAAATTAGATGGCACAATAGTACTCTTGGTAATAGGATCCCAGTAAAGAACATGAAAAATAAACTTACCTATGTTTATGCTCATCTTACATGTTTTCTTTCAGTCTCCCAAAAGCTTGGGGTGGGGAGTGCCGATTAGGTTTTTCTCCCGTTGATTACAGCCACCACTTCCTCAGAGTTCTTTCTCCATCCATCATCTCCTTTCTCTTCTCTATTTTCAGTGTCTCCATCTCTACTAGCCTTCTTACATGCCCAGGTCTCTTCCTGTTCAAAAAAACAAACCCTACCAAATCTTCCTCCCCCTAAGTACTGCATCATCTTACTCTGCCATTATTCATGCTTCTCAAAATAATATATAGCATTATTCTCCCTGTCTTCAACCTATACTCAATATTTTTAAACATTTCTTATTGTAAAATGTAATATGCATCCTAAAAAGTGCATAAAATATGTGTACAATTTAATAGATTAGTTATATGATACACACCAAGTAACTACCTCTGTGTACAAAAACTAGGAAGTTGCAGCTACCCCAAAGCCCTCTATGGGCTCTTCTATCCTCTTTGGAAGTAACTGCCCTCCTGACTTTGGTGGGTGATTCTTTCTTTTTTTTTTCTTTTTTTTTATATTTTTTTAGTTGTAAATGAACACAATACATTTATTTTATGCTGAAGATTGAAACCCAGTGCCTCACACATGCCAGACAAGTGCAATACCACTGAGACACAACCCCAGCCCTAGTTGGTGATTATTTCTTTGCTTTTCTTTCTACATTTCATTACTTTCATGTGCATCCCTTTACTCTTCACCCTACAGCCTTCAACTCTTTGTGCACTCCCACTGATTCCAAATTCTTGCACTAACGTTATTTAAGAACAGTTGTTTTTACAATGGATGTTTCTCAATCCTGGTGTTACTAGGTCTCCCTGCTGGTTTTTGACACTGTAGATCAGTTCATCCTTCTTAAAACTATTCTCTAACACTGGCACCTGTGTTCTCCTGGGTCTCCACATGCTTGAGCCCTTCCTTCTCTGTCCCTTTTACAAGCTCCTCTGTGTGCCCTTAAATGTTTCTGTCCAAGGTTCCATCCTCCACTGCCACTCCATGCTAAGCTCTAGAAAGCAGTATTTATAACTTTCTTCTAACTTTTATTAAACCTTCACAAATGTTTTATGTTGCAGACCAAACCTGGGCCACCCAAAAAACCGAAGACTCCTTCTGGACAATCAGCATTAGTTTATTGCTACAACTGTGCACAAAAAGGCCATTATGGACACGTAAGTTTAGCATTTGAACATAAAGCATTCTGTTGTCAGGGAGCAGTTGTTGAAAGATGAGCTCAAAAAAGAATGGAACTCTGAATGCTTACTTATTTACCAACTAACATTCAGAGGCAAGACTTAATATATTCTCTTTTTTTTTATTTGTTATAATTAGATACACATGACAGTACAATGATCTTGACATATCATACTTTTGAATCAGATGGGGTATAATTTCTCATTTTTCTGAGTATAATTTAATTTTTCTGAGTGTATATATTCTCTATTTATTTACTTCTCCCATCCCTACCAGAGTAACTGTCTGTCAGAGCATAGTTGTCTGTTACAGGTGAATGTAAAAACAAATACAGCTCATGAAGTGAGTCATATAATAGTCGTCAACAGTACATGGCGTTCTCATGAGTTCCTCTCATGATTACTTTGACACAGCTCCATCATGTTTTGTTTTTTTCTTCCACTTTTTCCTGGTACTGTAGTCAACTCAGTCTTCATCACTCACTTGCAATCCCTGACACCCAACAGTGGAAAGACAGGGGTGATGCATCACTGACTAACCCACCTACTCCACAAGTGCCCAGGTTCCTTGTCCAGCTAACACATTCTCTAACCCCAACTGAAAGGGTCAGATTGTGTGTTCTGGATGTTTAAGTTTCAGAGCAGGAGCGACTTCTTGCTGTGAGGTGGGCACAAGATCCCTAGCCAGTTGCCACTTTAAGTGTGAAACTGCAGCCATCCATCACAGAGACAAGAAGCAATAAGAATAGGCTCAAAATCCATGCATTCCAGGACTCTTGAGGCAGAGAGGAAAGGGCAGTGGCACAGGAGGTAGAAAGTTCATATGGAGAAATGCACTCCCACTTTCCAGGTAGGGTTCTAATAGCCTCAAAAACAAGGTGAACTGATATCAAATCAGATCCAGTGGAAGGAGGTAGAAAACAACAAAGCTTGGAATCCTTTAAGTGGGTAGAAGGATGATCAATAGAAAAGGGTAGCACTGCAGACCACCTCTTAAATTCCAGCCATGGCATTTACTGGTACAAGCCTTGGGAGCCCTACATTATGAGGACAGACAAAAAGGCTAGGAGAAAGAAAAGTGCTGGAGTCCATCTGCTGATCAAGTTATCTTCCATACTGAGGCAGCAGAACTATGGGTGGAGCTTAGAATGTGAAAACTAGCATGAGGCTCTGATCCTCACTTCTGATTCGTACTCTGCTACTGACTTAACCAGGTGACTTCAACAACTCACTTTTTCTTTCTGACCTTCAATCCTTATCTCCAAAACAAAGAAGTGGTACAGGGGATTTCTCAGCCCTGATGTTTAGATGCTATTTCCAATGTGATCAGACCCACCTTGTGGTGACACAGATGGAGAGATCCTACAGCACACTTACTTCACTTCTGTAGAACTCACATTGAAAATTTAGCTAGAGAAGGTTTCTTTTACAGTGCTATCATCTCTAGATCTTTTACTGCTCTGTGCATTCATCCGTGTTACCAACATTCAGATGCTGCCAACGCCTTTTAGGGAACATATTCACATAAGCAGTCTACTGGCACACAAATCACATAAATGTATGATTTATGCTTGCTTACCTCTTTAAAACACAAGGGTATAATTTTAGCATTTATCTTTGTCCAATTAAAGAAAAACAATTATAGCTGGATGCTTATTACTTACTAGTCACTCCTGTTAATGTAGATAGGAAATATATTAAAAGCATTTGGAATTTATCCCTGAAATCTAGATTTAGATAATTTTTAATTTATAAAAAAACAAATTTGGCAACCTCATCACTGCCATAGATGAAGAACTCTAGATTATCCAACACTAATGAAGAAGATCAGTGGTGTGGCTAATCCAGAATAGTAGATAAATTATATAGCCAACTATCAATTGTCTGTGCTAATGGAGGGGACCAGCGATGTGGATAATCAAAATACAATTTACATTTAGCTTTGGAAAACATTTGTAGTACTGTATAACTCTGTGTAGTCATGTCAGTCTAGACCATATGGGATCCAAATAGAGCACGCAGGTGGTTCAAGATGTTTGAGGATCTTTCTCCTTCAGTTTTAGAAATTCAGCCATACAGATGTTGTTATTGAATAGATTCGTTGCGTGAAAATGTGACACTACTATTTCCTAATTCCACTCCCTTTCTGGTGGAGTGGGGTCTGGGGAGGGTGTCAAGGACAACAGTAGTCACTGTACAGAGAGCCTCTGCAGGAGGATGTGAAAGAGTGAGTGGGAGCTGGGAGAGTTAAAAGGTTTTGTTGACAAGTATTGAATGAATGTATGAAGATCTTTAGTACCTTTGTGCCATCATGATTTGCTCCTACTATTGTATGGTTAGGATTCTTACTAGAGATAAAGCTGCTGTATATTCCACCATTACAATATTAGAGTATTCTGAATGACTCATTACATCATTAAGTTTTATGCTTCTCTGTGTTTTATGTTCTTAATTAGCTGCCTTTCATTTCAGTTATTGTCAGAATTTTAGACCCAATTTTTTATGGGTTTATTTGATGTGTATCTTTTATCCTAGAAATGAGAATTTGGAGCCACTAAATATGGTGGTTTCTAAACACATTTTTTTATGTTATCATGAAAGTTTGCCTTACAACTTTCAGAATCCAAATAAGACCAAATGATTAAAAAAAAAAAAAAAGTCACAACAGGCAGGGTGGTGCATGCTGTTATTTCAGCAGCACAGGAGGCTGAGGCAGGAGGATTGCGAGTTCAAAGCCAACCTCAGTAATGGCAAGGTGCTAAACAGCTCAGTGAGACCCTGTCTCTAAATAAAATAAAGAATAGGGCTGGAGATGTGGCTCAGTGCTGAGTGCCCCTGAGTTCACTTCCTGGTACCTAAAAAAAAAGAAAGAAAGAAAGAAACAATAGGATAAGTCTGAAGATGGTAGAAGGAAGAAAATAATAAAGATAAAAGAGAAAATTATAGAAACAGAAAACTAAATAGTATCAACAAAACCAAAAGCTGATTCTTTGAAAACTCTTTTTTTAGGAGAAAACAGAAGTCAACTGTTAAGGTAAAATGTTATGATTTGATATGAATAATAAAAACAGATTTCCATTACTTAACTCTTTGAAATATATTCTGATGATTCATAATTTTTTAATTCAGCAAATTAATTATATAAAATGTATAAAATGGCCAGCTATCTTAAAGATACAAGTTCAGATACAATGTCAGAGTTATAATGAATCAACTAAATTCTTTGTGTATTTTTCACATGCTTTCTTAAAACTATTCTAATTTTTGTTCAATACTTAGCTAAAAAATGCTGAATAGTTATAAATAAATATTAGGTAAGATAACAGAAGATAAACGGGAACCTTCCAATGGGAAGACTTTCAAAGAAAAAAATGCTTCAGACATGGTGAATAAATATGTGTTGCAGATCATGATAAATGAAAACCTGAAGTATTCAGGCCAAAGAATGTAAACATGGGAAATGGCCATGGTGGGAAGACCAGTCATGAGAGTGGGCAGCCACCTATGGAAAGGAGCGCAAGGGGTGATCTCAGCTCGGGTAGGGAGCAAGAAGAGAGATTTCCTTTGGGGCATCTCAGAATTACATGGGAAAAGTTTTAAAGTAGACATAACCTACCACCATCTCACTCCCTATCATAAAAATCACTACCCTAATCAGCAGTAAATGCTGAGTTAAAATAAACTTGCCAACCACTTGTGTTTAGAGAGGAGAGCAAGAGGCTAAGAACTTAACACCTATATTTTGGGGGTGAGAAGGAGAGACAAAAGAAATACTTAAGGGAACATTTTTGGAAGAAACAGACAAGGAAAGGACAGATATGAACATAAAACTGAATAGAATAAACTCTGTCACAGAACAAGACAAGTGCAGATGGCACCAGCCCTCAGTGCTGTTGACTGAGACTAAGGAGGAATTTGGCAGGGAAGATGGAAAAAAATAGGAAAGGTTTTATAGCTAAGGGAAGAAAACCCAAGCCTGAAAGAAAAGCACATAAACACAGTAGGGTTGTTGGTTTGCGTGATCCCTTCCAGCTTTCAACCACAGCACAAGACACCAGTGATGTGGGTCTCTTCTCTAATAAGCATGGTCCAGAAGCTCACAAAAGGGTTTTCTGAACAGTGAAAACTATGACATCATAATTTCAAATACAATTTGCAGGAATGTACAGAAAGACGGATGTATAATCAGACATTTCCAACATCTCCATTCATCTACTACTATGATGACAAATACGAAATTCGGGAGAGAGAACAGAGAATAAAACGAAAAATAAAAGGTATGTTATTAGGCTGTTATTGTAGCTCAATTGGTATAGCATTTGCCTTAAATATGTGAGGCACTGGGTTCGATCCTCAGCACCACATAAAAACAAATAAATAAAATAAAGGTATTGTATCTGTCTACAACTAAAAAAAAATTTTAAAAAGAACAGATATTATTTTTTAAAAAGGTATGTTATTAACTTGTTAGGTAACATTTGCAGTAGTAGTTCCTAGATTTCTTTTTTTCTCTTTCCACATTTTTTATTGTGCATTATAATTATACATAATAATGGGATTTATTGTTACATATTCGCACATGAACACAAAAAAAATCAACATAATTGGCCAATATCATTCCCCAGCACTTTCCCCCTTAAATTTTTTCTTATCTTTGCGTGCTTTCAAGGTCATTAGTTATCACAGTAAATGTTTTTAATAATTACCATAGAAACTAGAACTTTCTTCATCTTCAGAAGCCAAACACCTTACTTCAAAAATTCTGTATTGTAACCTATTTGTGATAAACATTTTTTCCACTTAGTAAACATTTTAGAAAATGTCCAGAAAAATACTGCTCTCCATCTGTGCATGCAGTTTTCAAGATTCCTTGGAGATTTTTCTGTTTGACAAGTAATTATTTTTTCAGGTTGTATGTCTCTGATATTTTTCATGGAAAGAAAGATTCCTGGAGCTTCCCTTAAGAAATCAGCTCTTATAGGCCACCATTGTCTGCATAGCTGTAGGTCCCCAGCCACTTCTCTGGTTTCTGTGTTTACTGTTGCTAACATTTAAGTTCTTTCTCACCAAATTAATATCTTATCATTTAAGTCTATTTTCTCTACTTCTGTTCTTTCTTGCTGTGTACTTTAAGATGGTTTCCCAAGTTACCTTTCTTGTTTGGGGACAAAATTGTTTATTTTTCAAGTTGTTCTATTATGTAGTTTTCATCTTTTTGGTATTCTTTTTTTAAACTCTTACTAAGTTTAGGACCTTTTCAAAATAAAGTTACTAATTCTAAAGAAAGTCAAAGGAATTTCTTCTCACAATGCCTGCATAGTTTACATATTTAATATAAAATTTATCTAAACTATAGAGAAATTATAGTACAGGAAGACAGTGATTAGGCAACTAAATTAGAAAGAGATTAAAAAGAAATAAATGAAAATTTTATCTCTGAATTTAAAAATTATGAGTGCTTTCTGATTTTTTTTAACTTGTCTGTTTTTTTTCCAAGTTTTCCATCATGAGCATTTATAACTTTTATAATCTGAGGAAAAAATTTTTTTTTCCTTTTTAGCTAGTTGTATTGACACTCTGTAGCACAAATCAATTTTGAAGTTTGCGTTGGAATTTTTATTTTATTCTAAGAGTCTTATGCTAAAAGTTGTTATTGGCCAATGCTTTAATTTTTTAAGGTTCTACTGACATTAATTTTCATCCTTCACTGTAACCTCATCTCCCACCTACTCATGTCAGAATCACTCACCATCAGAAGCTCGTAATAAGTATGTTGAATCCTGACAAAATATAACATCATCTGGCACTAAAACCTCTAAGATAATACCCACACAGAGTGCACACAAGTGTGTTCTCCCCAGGCCAGCAGTCTCTGCTCTAGAGGAGTAATCTCCCGGGCAGTCTGGCATCCCCCTCTTAGTACTGTGGCCAGACTTTATCTTCAGGAGGTAATTGAAATGTCATGTGAGACTGTCAAAGGCAATTTTATACATCTTGCTTTGCCTTATCATCAGAGACTGATGATCACTGGAGGAACTTGAATTGGTCAGACGTGACTTCCTCACAGAACTAAGATGATTACTGTTCTTGCAGGTCCTGGTCTCTATTGTCTAATACTGTAGTTAAACTGTGTTGAATAGAACAAACAGCTATCGTTGGATTTGTGGTGTTTTCCCTTTTTAGCAATCAGGAATGTAAAACTACAACCATTCCATTTCTAGTTAGTGTTTATTCCTGTTGTTGTTGTTTTTACCTTAGTAAAGGCTCTTTAGAATGTTGTATTATTAACACATTTAAATATATCTAGCTGCCTGTCTCCTCATTTATAGACCTGCGAAAGCTCAAAATACTTTTTAATTTTCCAGAAATCCAGAAAAATGGGGATTTTCCAAGGCAGTTCAAGAGACTGCACATGGAAGCAGCAGAGACGAGACCACACCATGATATAAGGAAGAGCCATGGCTGGAGAAAAAGCAACAAGTGGTATCAAGAAGACAAAGAAATACAGAAGGAAATGATGAACAGGAGTAGAGAACGTGAGAAGCACAGAAAGGCTGACAGGCATCATGAAGTGGATGAGGACTTTCCTAGAGGCCCCAAAACCCACTCTTCACCTGGCAGTTTTAAGACCCAGAAGCCTCACAAGTCCTTTCACCATTCATCACATTACCACAAGCCAAGAGAAGACAAGCTTCCCAAAGAGGGCAAGCGGAGCAAGCCAAAGAAAAAGGAGAGATATGTGGAAGATGATGGCAATGATAATTTATTTCTTATTAAGCAGAGGAAAAAAAAGTCTAAGCTGTGAGACAGCTTCTGGTTTGGTTTTATAATGTTCATTTGATCTTCATGTCTGCAACATTCTGGCAATATTTTTATTGTTTATGATTAAGTGAAAGAAAGGTTTTTTGTTTTGATTGTTTAATACTTGGAGTACTGAACAAATCCTTGCAGGATCTCAGTGCTTTGTCCCACAGGTTATTAGGTAGAAACACAGCAAGATAAACTGGGACTTATTCCAATATTGTTTTTACTCAGAATCTTTGGGATAGGAAAAATCAAATCTTTTCAATAAAACTTTTTAAAAATACTTTGAAAAACAGAAAATGTCATCAAATGTAATTCATCTACAATATTAACAGTAAAAAAAATCTTTGCAGGAAGAGAAAATATTACTAATAAGAAAATTGTATCACTGTTTTGCAGCATTACTGTTTTTTTTTTTTTAAAATACTAGGAATTGACCCCAGGGGCATTCTACCACTGAGCTACACCCCCAGTCCTTTTTATACTGAGACGGGGTCTTGCTAAGTTGCTGAGGCTAGCCTTGAACTTGCAATCCTCAGCCTCCCAAGATGTTGGGATTACAGTGTATGCCACCTGACATAAGATTACTTTTACATTGGAAAGGACAGTGGCTATAAATCTGAATCCAGCTCTTCTTTCTTCTGAAGCTGTTGTCAGAATCTTCCCTTGGGCAGAACATCACAGGCTTACTACAAACAAGGCCCTGAGGAGGCAGGGAATTGGGCTATAGTAAAAGAAATCTGAGTATAAATGTCTAAGACAGATTTCCTGAAACAGGTGAAAGAGTCATCAAAAATTTTAACAATCGCAGTAAAACAGTTTTTGCCATTTTTAAAGCCACATGTCAAAATCATCACTTAGATTTATAGAGTTAAATATTATCCAACTTAAAAAACTGTTCTGTTTTTATGGACTTTTATAACTACAACAGAGCTTTACAGAATTTTTTGTACTTGTGAACAATTTTTTTGTACTTACCAAAGCCTAATATTAGAATGAGAGAAATAAAATGTCTCAAATAGAGTGACTAAATGGTCTATTATGTAAAGACTATGAGAGTTGGGATGATGAAGGGCACATTTGGGTTGGACAGTGACTAAAGCTATAAAATCACCATAAACTAGAGCTGGGGATGTAGCCAGTGGTGGAGTGCTTTCCTAGCTTGGGAGGGGCCCTGGGCTCAATCCCCAGCACCTCAATCAATCAGTCAGTCAATCAATAATCACGATAAATTGGAGTAAAAAATGCCCATGTTGCCCAAGCACAAGCTTTATAGCAGAATAAAATGGTGTGTGATCAGTTAAGTAGAACAGTTCTATAAATTGGATTTTTGTGTTTGTATTTTACTCTTTGGTAAGTATAAACTACTGTCTGCCTGTTAGGGTGTCTCCCTTATTTTTGGCTGAAGGAGAATCTCACTTCCCACATCATCCCTAGTGTGAATTGTAGGTCTATAATGTTTAGTCCACCACCCTCCCTTCTGGCATATGGCTTCCCAGCTTTGGCTAAAGTTGTTCTCACCCCGAGGTGAGCAACCAGAGGCTCTTAACACCCTGCTAAAACTGATAGCCATGATAAGCAGCTTCATGGAAGTGTAGTAAGCCTTGAAATAGCTGGCACTGTTCCTCAGTAGGACCTGGGGCAAGCATGGCTTATTATCAGTATGGTGGAACTAGTGTCCCTTCTACTCCTAGGGCATCCACCTCTTTTTAGATCAGAAATGAAATTACCATTGTTTAGGTTCTTTCATATATAGAGTATTTGAAGGTAAGACTTTTATTTCTACCTGCCCATTTTATTTTTCCCCAAAACTTTTCTTGGTTGTTAGACAAACCTTTTGTTCTGGGATATAACTTACTGTTTGGGTCCGTGCATTTATACACAGATAAGAAGGGAGAAATGAATAGGAAAGTGATACAGAGAAATGAAGAGAAGGAAGCGGGGCTGGCTGCTTCCTCAGGGTCCATAGCGGGAACTTCCATGCTCATTCCACTAGACAATGGAGGCTGCACCTCAGAGTTGCCCCATCAGGGACAAAGGAGCTAGCATATGTGTTTTTTGTTCTGTAAACCAGTCAGTGTTTGAAAACTACCCCCCAGGATTCTTTCCTAGCCAACTCTGGCTCTCTGTACACCAGCAGAGCGGTTTTGGGAGGTGCCCCAACAGAGGCGGAGGCTGGGAAGGAACCACCAGCTCGACTGCTGCAGCCATCATTTCAGAGCAGACCTTCTCGCAAAGGATGCTTGGCAGTCTTACACCAACATTTTTAAAAATTGTTCTTGAATGAAGAAATTACAATTTTATTTTCATATATTACATATAATCAATTGTATATGTGAAATGTAATACAAGTATAATCATTTTCTCAATAGAAGAGTTTATCAGCTTGAGGTACCCAGAGATGACAATGCTAATGAAGGGAGTCCAGAATATCAAAGTTATTGCAGCATTATCACAGTCATTATCAAAAGTAGTTTTAGAAATTTCCCCTTCCAACCAAGATTAGAGTAACTGGGATCAGATTTAGTCCCCACCCTGAAACAGTGTGAAAAATATTAATACTGTTCATAAGACATTAAACATCAGACAAGAAGGGACAGCAAACTTTAAGAGAAAACAAACAAGTAAGGTGTGACCTGTGACTGCCCTGGCTGACTGCTTGCAGCGTTCCCCGAGTAGGGAGCAAGCAGGGGACCCAGGAAGACCCTGGAGGTCTCCCTGAGTTGAGGAAACAGCGGAATCTGGCAAACCCAAAGTGGCTACGGCTTGTAGGTCCTATTACCAGAGAGGAGAGAGCTGCGCTGATAGAGAACCCAGAGACCTGTGACCTGGCGGGTTCCCCCTGGAGTCTTCAGCTGAGTACTGGTCAGCACCCATGTGTGAGGAAACCACCTGAAAGCACTAGAGGGAACTATTTCTGGAGTTCACACAGAGCCCAAAATAGCTTCTGTTCTCACCAGAGTGGAAAACCTCATGGTTCACCAACACTGACCACAGCTCTTAGAAGAGTTTTACTCAGTAATGAAGAAAAATTATCCCGGGTCTAAACTCCTCTTTTTCTGCCTCACATTTGAAAATAGGATCCAGAAGGCTTAAGCTCTCTCCAAATAACCAATTGCAAAAAGCAAAGCTCAAGAATATTTATAGGACGGGCTGGGATTGTGGTTCAGTGGCAGAGCGCTTGCGTCACCCATAAGAGGCACTGGGTTCGATCCTCAGCACCATGTAAAAATAAATCAACCAAATAAAGGTATTGTGTCCATGTCTAACTAAAAAATATTTTTTTAAAAAAAAGAATATTCATAGGAACACAAAAATATCAGCACCCAAAAAGGTAAAATTCACAAAGAAGTACTACTAAAAATGTTAATTAATCTATAGGAACAGAAAACTGTTAAAACAGTAGCCGCTCAGAGATAGGGTTGGCTGGGAAGGACAGGAGGTAACAATTAAGAAGGGACGCAAAGAAACTTGGTGGGGTGGATAGGTTCATTATCTAGATTGTGGTGATGATATCAGGTATATGCATACAATCAGAACCAAAAAAGTCTAATTTCACATAGTAGTCTATTGGAAACATGTTAATGGTTTTTGTTTGAGGGGATTGTTTTGTTTTTTATCATTGAATTGGGAATATTCTAAAAAATCTGGGTGAGCAGTCCTCAGGCCATCTTCGGTTTTGTTTCCTGTTTTGCCCACTTGGGGCCAAGGTGACCAGTATCACAAGACAAATAACCATCTGTAGGAACCTGGGGAGGGGCTTGCTGACCTCAGGCCTAAGCACAGGACCTTTAGACAAGTGTCTGTTTTTAGTTTCCACTGAGTAGGTCAATCTACTAAATCCCAAGAAAAAGAAGTCTCATGAGAAAGCACGAACTGCTGGTTCTTCAGAGACTGGTGAAAACCCCACAAAGAACTCACCACAACCTGAGCACAGTGAGGGTGGTCCACAGTGGACCTCCACAGGACCCAGGACTTGTTCAACCAACTCAGTCAACGTCCTTGACCATCTAACCAGAGCCAAGTCCTACCCTGGAATTCTTGCTTTTTCTCCAGGGATTGGGACAGATGCAAATCCCCAACCCTTCTATTCAGTTTTATAAATATCTGTAGGATACCTGTGTGCCAGGCCCTGCACTGAGCTCAAGGAACAGTGTAAACCAGGCAGATGTGATCCGTGCCCTCATAGGACTCGTAGTTCATGGAAAAGATGGACACTGTACAAAGAACATGGTTCCTGGAGTAGGGTAGGGGCTCAAATATCTATTGATAGAGTGAAGAGACACAGGCCATGATATCTATTTTCTTTCTCCCAGGGCCCAGGATAGGGCCTGACAGGCTTTCGCAAATGAATTTAACCCACTGGCGGCAACACTGTTTTCCGCATGTAATTACCAAAATGGGGGTGTCTAGGACTGACTGGACAGGAAGGTTGCACTTCCAAATGGAAAAGTTTGCAGTGGTCCTTTCGGAAAGAAAGCTTCAAGGCTGGATAGAGTGAATGTGAGACTCACATGATCAATATAAGGTCTGTCATTCAAATGGAAGAGGAGAACAAGGAAAACAAGTATATGCCAGGGCGAAAACACTGATACTCCAGAAACCCATGTACACACTTCCTTAGAGAAGTATAATCCAGGAGGACAAATTGTTTTTCTAATCAAAATTCACTAAGCTTTGGAAAGAAACTCCTCTGGGTTTGAATATCATCTGCCCTAATCTGCCAGACTTGTTCCCTGCCCACAGACGTCTTGCATTTTAAGATAGCAAAGAGAAACGCTGAAGTAAATGGCTGTGCCTTGAGGCAGGACTGTGCATACAGAAAAAGGTGACTTCTGGTGTCAGAGGTGGAGACCCAGGAACACTTGACAGAAAATGGTGTTGGAATTGGCCCTTTGAACATAGGAAAGACTTGAATGTGCAAGGTGAGAGGAGACACATTTCAGCAGGAAGATGGGTGTGGGCAGCAGCCAGGACACAGGTAAGAGGACCTAGTCCAATTTGCCTTGACTGCAGGTCGCAGGGTAGTGGAGGGACACATGAGTGACGTCGCTGTTGGCTCTGAGTCCTACAGGAAGAAATGTGGTTCTGATAGGTTAACTTCTGTTTCGTTTTCCTCTTCTATAAAATGAAAATAATCTTTAAAGTATCTCCTAGAAAATATGTATTAATGATAAACTTCTCACACAGTGATAGAAATGCTTCATTAAGAGCAACTGATCTGGTGGCAGTGGGGCACCATCAAAGAATTTGAGTAGGGAGATGAATGGCATGCTTGGAGATGGGTTTGAGAACAGCTCTGCACAATTTAGCATTTTTGTCCTATTAGCACCCATAAATCGCTTTTCTTTCCAAGGAATGACATGTCTTTTGCCTATCTTTGTACAGAGACATGGAAGCTGATTATATCGGAGTTTTCCCAAGAAACAGAACTAACAGATTTATCAAGCTCACCCAATTGCAGGGGCTGGCAAGTCTAAAATCTGTCTAGGTCATGCCAGCATGCCAGAAAGCCAGGCAGGATTTCTGCTTCATCATCTCGAGGCTAAATTCCTTCTTAAGGAAGCCTTCGCTCCTGCTTTTAAGACCTTCAACTGATTGGATGGGGCCCATCCTCATCCAGTGTTCCTTTCCTTTACTTAAAGTCAAGTGATTATAGGTGCTAATGACAGCTACAGAACACATTCCTAGCAACATCTAAACTACTGGGCACTATAGCCTACCCAAGTTGACACAAAAAAAATTAACCATTACAGTGATATTCATCTCCAATACAGAAATTGAAGCAGAACAGGGCAAACTGATGCCCAAATCCTAACCCCTAGAACCTGGTACTAGGCCTGAAGGTAACCTTTGTACCATGGAAATAATTTTATATAGTTCCTACTTTTTACATAAAATCCTCCTCAGACAACCAGGCTGCACATCTCCAGGTGTGCTATGCCAAACGCTGGTGCAAACCACCTCCTGTTGGAGGAAGAAGGGCTGGTGTGGGATTAGGCCCACAGCTAGGGACAGATTTTGGCTTGGTACAGAGAAGCAGTTTCCTGACAGATTCCCACAGTGGGGCAGGCTGCCAGGGACATACTGAGCTCTTGGTTCCTGGACATGAGCCACTTGTCATGGTGTTGTGGAGGAAATTCAAGGACCTGATGAGAATGGAGCAGCATCGGGGAAGAGCCTCCCCAGACTCTGTGAGTGCTGACAGCCCTAGATGCCAGAGTGCTGTTCACAGTCAACAGCACCCCTCAGAAAAGTCCCTGCTCCTGCCCTCACCCCTCCCTCGCCCACGGCCAGCAAGCTGCTGAGGGGCCAGGCGGATTGCGGAACCTCCCTGAGATGGAAACTCTCTGAGTGCCTTTCTCACTCTTCCCAGCAGCC